CTTGTAGTCTCATTAGTCGGTGCGGGTTGTTGTGTAACTTCATCCGCCATTTTCCAAATTAAACAAATCCAATCGTTGGAACTAAATAATCGTAAATTCGCTTGAGGACATCCTTGTTTCAATAGAAACAATTCAATAAGCAACCAAGGTACTTTTCAGTTATATTCTTAGCTTGGCTCACTTTCGTTTAGAGTCGCACGCAGTTGTAGTTCCAAGAGCTACTCTTTTACGCGTCCTCAATACTCGCCGCCATTCCATCCATCATTATTATTATTATCATTATTATTATTATTATTATTATTATTATTATTATTATTATTATTATTACGGTAGATGGGTGACTAACAGCACAAGGCTTTGTAACCAACATGTTTTTGAAGGTAGTACCAAGCACAAACCATTCAAAGGGAACATCGATTGAACAAAGCTGACATACTTTGATGGCCAAACGGGTAGCTCAATTGGTTAGAGCGCCGGATTGTCTTGTGTGGGAGGTCGAGGGTTCGAGCCCCAGTCGGACCATACTCGTGTTCTTAAAATAACTGAGGGGAAATTGCTACCTTTTTATGATATCAAGAAATAAATAGATATTCTAGTCTTCTCGGATAAAGAGGAATAAACCGCAGGCCCCGTCTCCTGCAGGGTTAGGGGTGGGAAACGTTAATTTCCCACACACGAAATTACTGTGTGGTGGATGTTCTCCACTGGGGTGGGATTGGTGGGTTTACTGAGCCCGCAGTAATTGGCGCAAGCTGTTGCGGTGTCCCTGACTTTCGGCGGATCTAATAAATTAAATCAAATTAAATTTTAAGATTTCCTTAGCAACAGATTTGTAGTAAAGTGCCACCCTCTTAATTCATCATTAAACTTGCTGCATTTTGAAGTGTAAGCCAATCAATCAAATGAAATACTACGAAGCTTACCTACCGTATTATTTTGTTAATTGTTGTCATTGTCGTTTTTACCGTAATGAATGAATGCTCCGCAGATTGAAGTCTGAGATTGACAATTTAATGATTAGCTCAGGTCTGCACCTTTTAATGTCATAAATTTCTAATCAGAACCGATAAAAACTAAGAAAAGAAAGCTATTCTCACACTACAAAAGAAAATGACAATGAATTTTATTTCGACACTACCTTCTAAATCTATGAATTTAATTTGGTCCTGAACGACTTGTTTCTTTAAAAAAAGCAAACAAACAAACAGAACGAAGTCATATTCCTCAGCCTAATCATTTCATTTGTGACTAGTTTGAAGTTATCTCATTTTTTCATCGCTAAGCAAGAACGTCTTGTAAACAACTCTAATGAGAAGAAATATTCAGTAAACAAGGGGAAAAACGACGGCGATTTCCGAATTATACTTTGGATATTATGAAGAAGAATGAGTAGAGATGAAGTCTAGTTAACATCATATGAGAGCGAGAAAAATCGCATATACAAATGATTTAACTAGCTGTAATATTGACTGATGAACTAATAGACTCGATATCCAACTGGAATGCAATAATAATAAAGCTTAATCACCTAGGTGGATTCATACTATCATCGTACTTGCGTAATCTGTAGCTTGTTGCATAACTCTCAAAGAAGACAGTTTTGTTTTCCTTTAAAGATATTTTGAAAATGAACATTTGTGTTAGCGATCTTTAAAGAACTAAGTTAACGATACTCAAGAACAAATATAACAATAAATCTCGTTGGAACGGCTGCCAAGTCACTTCTGAAGCACAACTAAAGGGGGCTCAGCTTATTACCGGTATTTTTGCTGCGCGCGCTAAAACATCCTTAGCTAATAACTTCGCAAAAAGACATATAGCAGCTTTCTGAATAAGATTTAGTCGAGTTTGGGCTGACTTTGGACCAACATACGGTAACAGAACCTTGAGAAATATGACGTCGCAAGCAGATAGCAGCAGCAGCGCATCAGTACCAAACCTCAAACACGACAACAAATATTCATTTCTATTGTTTCAGTTCTTCCAAGGCTAGATCTTCGCCGTGATTTGCAAAGAAAAAAAAGTTTCAAACAGAATTTATCCTCGAAGCTGGACGACTATTAAGTAGAAACTTTCATCACATGCATCGGGTCAGAAGACCTGAATATCCACTCTGGTCTACCCTCCAATGAAGAGAATGGTGGGACCGATAAGATCTTGAAGTTTAAAATAATTACTGCGAAGGAGAGACGAACTCAATGTACGAGCGCTAAACAAATTTCATTGTAGAACAAGACCGTTGTTATACAAACTACATCAAGCTAATTAATAAGAAGTTAGAAGTGCCATTCATTGGACGTGTAATGACGAAAAATCAAGGGAAAGGCAGTTCCAAGGAAAGCTGACGCAATAGTCATGGTGGAGCGACCAGAAGAAGTGCCAGCAATGCAGAGGGCTACGAAACCTTTCGTAAGTGTTGGAGCCACTACGCTGCCTGACACGCGCAAGAATGGCGATTGAATCTGCATCCATTAGCAGAAAGTTCCCTTCGAAAAGTTCA